TACGTTTCTTTTCTTCAAGATTGACCAGTCTACCCCTAAGTTATTAGTGGTTTCAATTTACAGCCACTTGGGCCCCGACCGACATATCAGACAAGCAGAGGCGCATAAGTTGAACTTTAAACCGAAAGCACCTATCGTCACATGATATTGCTACTATACAAGGTTTAATCCCTAGTCGTATACTTCCTGTCAACATCCATCGATCCCATTGAACAGCTTTATGCAAATTTGCCCGGGCTTGTTCGAACACGAATCCGAGTTGCGTTAAAAAGGAAACGTTGCTTCCGAAATATATATAAAGAGTACGGAGTATAATATGAATGAGGTACTGCACTTTACATTTCGTTAGAACATTTATTATTCGGCTCGGCATTTTTTTCATATTTAGTTAAATGAATGGAACTGACATCGTTTCAATTTCTCTAATTTGTGCTAATGATGATGTTCTGGTCTGATATTATTCCATTATTAACCTGTTTCAAGTAGAGCGGGCTACATTTGTTTCGGCAATCCAATAATTATATAATCAGAAATGTATCCTACCGTTTTCTTTTTCACTGTGGTTTCCACTGCTACATTCAAAGTCCAAAGATGGCTGGAACGACTTAAGATACTCGATAGTCATCTGGAGTAAATCAACTTTGTCATTTTTCATACCCTGGTGAAGGTGGATAAAATTACGTTACTCAATATGTCAACTTAGGAAAGTCACAGTTCACCCACTGGAAGGTCCGCTTCTGCGTACAACCAAGGATGCAGTAGCGTGTGCGTTGCCTGTATATTGCGAGGTTAGATTAGACTACACATGTCAGCACAACTCGGCATATTGGAAAACAGGCGTTCTCAATTGTGTGTCTTTCATTCAGAGAAAGAGACAGGGGAACTATCAAATACATTTTTCTTCCCATGGTCGTAAACGCAGAAGGCTTTATATACAGTGCGTTTTATGATCGGTGGGTAATAGCAGATTACGTGACATCCGGCGCTCAGTCGTTAAAGTTCTACGCGCAATAGGTGGGTTGATAATTTTGAATCCGCGAACACATCATTGTATCACCAGTCTTAATACCCGTCTGCGGATGATATTATTTTAGTAAATGTGTACGGTTGCGATAATATTTGCAATCGCAAAGAAGTAGGCAATTGCTTAAGTCCCCAACAAAAAACCGTGGCAAAGGCATTCTCATGGTGACACTAATTAAATGAAATTAGCAAGCGTAATATCAGTCTGGCTGAAGAGGTTTCTACAAATGACTGGCTTTGAATTGAACATAAGAAGCGATTACCCTGATTGTTCGTATCGTTTGACTTGACACTAAAAAGCGTTCCGCTCTCCATTGCGGCACGGAGTACACAGCCTTGGTAAATACTAGTACCGGTTGTAAAACTGCCATCATGCCTTGCAAATAGAAATCGTTGAAAATGTTATCTTCCGGGATTGTTTTCATTAAACGTGATTTTAGGTCTAGTTTCGATGAAACGTACCAGATTTTGACTTGACAGGAAAAACACGCTCTTCGTTGTTGGCAACTCGTTGCTCTAGTTGCACATCATAAAGACTTTGAAGACGAGAATAGGATTAAGGCTTCAAATTTGTTTTTGTACTATTAGTTGCATTAGCCGCATTTTGCATGGTCCTTGGTTGTATACTCTGTGGCTTCTGACCAGTGGCCGGTTTTCATCGTCTAACAATCGTAGCATTCGTGACAACAATGCCGATGGTCCACATCGACTTAAAAACACCCCTTTCACCCAAGTTCACGGTGAGCAAATATCAATGCGTAGCGAGGTAGCCACTATTCACTCGTCTTGTTAGCGTCACTGTAAATACATGCATCCCAGCTTCGCTTTTGAAGCGTCGATCAATCACTTCATCTATTGTATAGAATTTTACAACATTGTGCCCTTTTGAAAGTTTTTTTTTATTATTCTGGGGAGGGAAAACCGCGCAAATTCGGCATGGACTTTTCATATGCGATGATTTTACTACCGGACATTCATGGTTTAATAACTGCCAATAATGATTGAGTCGGGTATTTTGGGGGTGGGTGGAAATTGAACCACTTTGCCGTTATATATTTGACAGTGATACACTGTACGAAGGCAAGGTACACTGAGCGTCGCTTTTTGTGTTCGAACAATGCTGTATGCCAACGGGCCTAGTATGAGAAGCTATGATAATCGTCCTCCTCAGCACCTAAATATGCATCTAGTGCGATGAACCGAAGCGTGTTTTAAAATGGTAATCACCTTCTAAAATGAAAAAAAAGTCACGTAATATTCAGCGTGCGGCATCCCGCGTTTGCATCATTTTTCAGGGACGTCCTTTTGAAGTTCTTGTTATAACGCCGAGTCAGTGCACGCCGACCGTTCTCCGTCGATACACGACTGATCTGCATACATGCCCACCTTTAGGCAAATGTGTGACAAGGACAATCAAATATTTGCTGTGTTTCATCTTTGCTTGACATGCATGCCCTGCCCTTAGGACGGAGGGGTACCTCACTCATCAAACAGTTCCCAATGCATGAAGTGAAGGTGTTAACATTGTTTCACAAATAATTCAATGACCAGCCGCCATGGTTCAAGCGAAAGTTGCTAAACAATATTTGCAATGTTGTCGAGTTTCGACCCGATATGTGCGCATGGCTACAAATCGATGTGTCTGACTCATGATTTGGTGCTGTTTATCGAAAGCAAAGTTTATAACAATCGTTGGGTATATTGATTTCCACATTCCCCATGGATAGGGTGAGTGCTCTGTGTTGATGAGAGGTTACGGTAGGAAATGTACATCGGATACGCTACGAGTTATCCGTCCACGAGTTCGCGCATTGAATTTAACATTTGCAGTAAACATTATATTCAAGTCAAACGACCCGTGTTCTAGCAAAACAACCACAACACGTTCCTTTGTGAGCACGGGCCACCTTTTCTAGAAAACTAACGAGTAAACGTTCCAACTCCGCGCTTAAAAACAATCCAATCATTGTGCGTAACGACACTGTAAAAGCTTGAATCATCGCTGGTGTGGTTCCTGAGCGGAACTCGGGCTGGTTAATGGCATACTCAGCAACACACGCAAGCGTGTGCCTTAATGGAAGACTCGTGACCTGTGAAAGACTAACAGCGTATAGTGTAGGGTTGTATATAAAAACACCGACACTCACTTGCGACTTGCGGGCAGCTGGTATGATCGCCCTTAACTCGTCCAGGCTTCGATTGATCCGGTCTCGCCTCCTCTTCTCGATGACTTTGTGGGGGGTGGCATGCTCCTAGAATATAAACCGAAGGCATGATTGGGAAATGTTTTATGGGAGAGGGATTCGATCATGTAGAGTAAACTTAAACCGAGTTACTTTAAAACTGAATACCGATGTAACACGTATATGAGTGTTCAGTCCTGAACAGCACGGCTACTGAAGAGGAAATGATATACAAAGCATATGCATGGGATGTTACGGTATTTCTAGACAGTTAAAGAAGCTTCCTTTTTTCCTTGAACAAATCACGATCGCATCAAATATACTCACCCCTTTTCGTTTCCTGGTTATTTTTATTCGCATAGGCTGTATGTCGCTATGTGTGCTTTAATAGAGAAAATTAAACAAAGATTTAAAAGACATTCAATATTTGATTATAGTATGGGAAACACATTACATTTAACTAATCAAGACATTTATATATCCGACATAAACCCTCACGAAAGTTTAACAAATGCAGTGGTTCCACATAGATCAAGCAACGTTTACATTGAGTGATTCTGCTGTTTGTTTAACAGCAGTGTAGCGGCGCAGAATACTACTCCACGTACGGTAATCCTACCTGGTGTCGTCTGAACTATCGCTGTTCTCTGACTCGTTCCCCGTCGCGCAGCCATTGTACTTTGGTTCCATCTAACTTGATTAATGTCCGGAATAGTACCAGATAATGTTGAAACTAAGTGAGAACGGCTCCTTATACCCCGGCCGTAATGGAATTCACTTGTCATATAAAGGGTACGAGTATGAATGTGCCCCTACGGTTTTTCTGGAGTGCATTGAATCCCGGACAACACACGCTGTCATGGGACGTTTACTCAAAACGACAGCTGACCAATGGGAACGTGTCTTGCAACCAACATGGCACTGCGTCAACCAATAACAAGGATTGATAAGAGAAGTCAGCACGTGCTGAAGTCGATCCACCTACTCCCTGTCACGTGCATTGTAACACTATACAAATATCGCTATACCAACCCCTGGATTGAAACTCCCGTCTATAAAAAGCCCCTCTAGTCTGCGATTCATTGGCACATGTGTGTTTTATGTATATAATCATATATATATATATATAATTTATCCCTACATCTTTGCAAAACCATTACATTTCGCGACAATGAAATGCTATCAATAAAGTGCGCGTTACTGGGGAAGCATAACAAAGGGAAACTACTAATTGTCGAGATAAACAATGCACTTCGGGAAAACAATTCTATTGACACCCGGGGACGTTTTTTCATTGGATAGGGCGCCCTGTTAGGAACCAAACCGAGTTGAAAACTGCATATGGGTGTCAAACAATGCCGTCTGAATACCCTCTATTAATTAAACCGCTTTTGTTTCAAAGTTTGCTAGCGTCTTTAACTGGGCATTCACACGTGAGTTGGACAAAACCGTGGGAAAATCTAAGCTTTAAACAGCTTTTATGTTTTACCGACATGCCCTTCACGGACATACGGCCAGTCCACAGTCTGCCAGACTACACCGGCACGGTTACAGAGCACGCCGTGTTTGCAGTGGCCAGCGCCTTCCATCTGTCGCTGACAAGGAGGCAACTTAGCATTTGAAAAGTTCGTACTACACGTAAGTGGATGCCTGGAAACGTCTAGCGTTTCAAATCGGCGCAATGTTATCGGTGATAACTGAGATGGAATGCGGCTGTGAGCGCGAGTTTGGAATCGAAGAAAAATATAATTGGCGGATTTAAAACGTGGTCATATTCGTCACGCTTCGGCAATGATATTGAGTTTAACAATTTATATGGAGGTAGTTTATATCAATAAAATAAATCATACGACCGTTAGGACAGTTGGTACTAGTATGTGCCGTGCTATGTGTCTCCATGACAGCCACTTGGTCACCGCATGCAGGTAAACTAGACCTCCATGGTTACCATTAGTGAACGCTGCCGCTAAGGGTTCAAACTAAGCTGGTTGCTATACCACTGCTCACATTGAAAAGCCAATGCCCAACAAACTCAATCAAACGACTCGGAAACCTCTTTGGCGACGCCGTACATTTCTCGGTGTAATTGTTGACATAGAGCTACCTGGTTTGTAGGTATAATGTCCAGTTATTATAAGCGATGTGTACCACGCCTTTATTTCCAACGTGCTATTGAATGCTCAAATATAACTAATATTTTGTGGCGTAACAGGTATAGGTGGCTTCTCGCAAAATTTCGCCATAAACTGACTAAATCGAGCAACTTTAAATAGGTTTGGTCGAATATATAAATTATCTGTCATCTTATTTATTTATTGATTGATTATTACGGGTAAATGTTTGCGTAACCG